CTAATAGCACTGGCTCTTTCTTCCTTGTTTTCCATTTTCTCTTGCAAAAGCAAACAACCTGTACCTAATTCTATAACCAGGCTGACTTGTGATTTTTAGTTCATAACCTGAGCCCTGTGCTGTCGGTTCCTGTTGTGGGGTTGTGCTGAGTATAACAATGTTAATAAAAGTTAAAAGTTACATAGTAACTCATTTTGTGCCAGGTACTATTCTAGGATGCCTGTGTATACATATTCAAATAATTCACATAAGTGTCATATGAGAAAGGTAATACAGTTACCCCTATTTTGTAGATAAAGTAACTTGTCCAAGGTCACAGAACTACTGAGGGAATCAACATTTGAATGCTGGCAGTCTGGCCTCATAATTTTTGGTATTTAATTAGCCTCACACTGTATCTCCTCCATTATACTACAGAACAATTAACCAGCTTCATAATGAAAAATTGGTGTCGGGGCTCTAGAATATTAACACAGAGATCTGTATCTATGACATGATATTGTCACTTTCTGTGACAGAGTGGAAATAAGGGTCAGAACCACAACAGGCAAGGAGCAAGCTCAGAATTGGCCCCAGTGGCCCTTGGCTCAAGAACATTTACAATAAAATGAAAATGGGCCTTTAACTTATCACCTACAATACACATTAGTCAGGAAAACTGCCACAAAAATGGAGCCCAAGCCTTATTACATGAGTTTATTAGATACTGATTTTCCTGATCTTTAAAAATGGGGAAAAAAATTAGAGGTTTATATACTAAAGTATCTAAAACAGACCTTCAAAATACTTTTTTAGTGGCTTTTAAAAAAATGGTTCTACAAAAGAAAACTTTTCCTTTCACCTAAGTTTGCCATTTGACATTTCTAAAACTCTAAAACCTGTCACTTTCACTTCAGTTGAGCGTGATTCTGCCAAGAAACTGCAATTAGCAATTAGTTAAAGCACAACTTCCTCTTGGAAAAATAAAATACCAGATATGTCACCTAAGCACAAGCAAAATTTGATTACACAAACTCCAACAAACAGCCTGTTTTCATTGCTGCAACTGCATTTTTATACTTCAGAAACAACAGGGACCACTTCTACTCCATTACTGAAATAATCGACATTTCAGTCTAGAATGATTTTTATCATGATCTAGTTTGTTATAGTAGAATTCTGTTCAATTGTAAAATGACTTCTTGATTACAAGAAAATGACTAAGTGTTGTGATTCCACTGTTAGTAGTGACAAAATTAACATCTGAAACAATTAAAAGGCTTTCAGTGGTTCACATTCATGTTTCCTACTGTTTCATATCTTAATCATATGTTCCAAAATACACACCAAGAGAATGAAAATTTAGATGACTTAAAAAAATAAGGCCAAGACTAATCAGTTTTGTCCCTAGCAGAGGTTCATATTTCACCGGATTAAGGAGTAATATTTATTAAACATACTATAGATGCCAAAATACTAAGAACATACTATTCAAAAGTGAAGATGGGAAGCACAAATATCCACAATGTTTGTCTGACAGATTCATAATAAGTGTGTGAGGAGATGAATTCAAATCTGTACTTTATGAAAATAAGCTGTGTTATTTTGTTATTGTTTCTCATGGTCAAAATCCTAAATATTTGATTTAAATCTAAGAGTGACTTCTTTAGGAACTGGGTGGAGGATAAGCAGGTAGGTTAACTCTTCCAGGATAGTTTAATTCTGTCTTAGAAATACACCATTTCCAGATATTTACTTTCACTTCCAGTGGAGTAATGTTTAACTGTAATCAGCCATGTCACTGGACATTCCAAAAGAAACTGTACTCAGAATGTTTTTTGGAAAAGTACTAGGCTTTGGGAGCCCTTAAGGAAATTGGCACACAAAATAAAGATCACTATTGTTTATAGACAACTGATATTGTTAGAAAGTTAAGTATAATGATTTTTTTAAAAAAAGTCAAGACATAATCTTAATTTAATCTAACTAGGAAAGGAAATAGCTTACACATTTTTAAAAACTGCCTAGGAAAATAAGTGAGTATGGGTATTATCACAAGAAAACCAAACCAGCACTCTTTGCTTTATGATATGAACACTAGGTTAACTCTATGTGAGCAACAATCACTGAATTATCAGCTCCCTGAAGGAAGAGCCATGGATACCTCCTGAGTTCTGGGTACTTTTACTAGATAACCTACTAACTTTTGGGAACTTCCTCAGACACTCAAAACACAGAAATGGATAAAATATGATCCTTGGCCTCCAAAAACTAAAAATTCAGCAGAAAGGATACAAGGTTTTATTATTATTATTTTTTTAATGTTTATTTATTGTTGAGAGAGAGATACAGAGCGTGAGCAGGGGAGGGGCAGAGAGAGAGAGAGGGAGACACAGAATCTGAAGCAGGCTCCAGGCTCTGAGCCACCAGCACAGAGCCTGATGCGGGGCCTGAATTCATGAGCCACAAGATCATGACCTGAGCCGACGTCTGACACTTCATCAACTGAGCCATCCAGGCACTCCAGGATATAGGCTTTTTAAAACTTCTATTTAATGTGTTATAACATGATAAATGCTATAACAAGTGTGAATAAAGGACTTACAGGAAAACAGAAGGAATGACTAACCTGTCCTCTTAATATATAGAAAAATGACTCTAAAGGTTTTACTGATTTGATTTAAACACTTAATAAATTTTGATTGGTAGGGTTAAAGTTCTAAGATGCCAATTTTAGAAGACTCTAAAGACAGAATATACAAATTAAGTAAACCACTATATAAGGGCTGAGGGGAAGGGGGGGTTTAACTCTGAAAAAGTTTTTAAACTATGCTTCCTCAAAACTGTATGAGCTCCTCAGAGTTCTCAGGGTCCCAAAAAGGGATCAGAGTGGCAAATGTATTCCAAATCAGCCTTAAAAAGTATCTTTTTCCCCTCCAATTCTCATCAGCCTTCCCCAAATAAACATTTAATCTATAACAATGATATGCTTACTCTGCAAACAGATTCAAGATAGGACCTTTAGTACCAAATGACTGGTCAGGAATGGGAAACTATGAGCTTTTAAAGTTTTTGATTCATAGTGGAAGCAATAACTTTCCTCCTAGAATGCTTCCCCGGAGTCCTATCATTACATCTTCATGTGGGAGATAATGTCAGCAAACTCTTCTGCAAGAGTGCAGCATACATATTTGGTACAATTTACTCTTTATTCAATAAAGATAGGTATTTCCCTTCAATAAATTTAGGTGAACCCAATTTTCCACTTAAAAATTACTGCTCATTCGGGGCACCTGGGTGGCTCAGTCAGTTAAGCGTCCGACTTCGGCTCGGGTCATGATCTCGCGGTTTGTGAGTTTGAGCCCCGCTTCAGGATCTGTGCTGATAGCTCAGATCCTGAGCCTGCTTCGGATTCTGTGTGTGTCTCTCTCTCTGCCCCTCCCCTGCTCACGCTCTGTCTCTCTCTGTCTCAAAAATAAATAAAACATTTTTAAAAAATTAAAAAAAATTACTGCTCATTCATTTCATGTGAATAAGTAAGAAAAATAAAGTTCAGGTAACTCAAAAAGTGTAACAGCATTAGAGATTCTTATTTAAATTTGTAAGGTAAAAATCTTAGTAGAATGTGCCACATGACTTTAAAGCAGGACAAAATCCCTTTCCTGATTTTCACATGGTACTGAAAGAAAAAGATTAATCAAGACATTTTATACACAAAATTTAAGATCCTAGTTAAATAATATGAGATGATCACGAAGAATTTCTTTAACTGTAGTTAAACAACCCTACATAACATAAAATTTACCTTCTTAACCATTTCTAAGTATACAGTTCAGTAGTGTTAAGTATTATTCACACTGTTGTGCAACCGGTCCCCAGAACTTTTTCATCTTGGAAAACTGAAGCTCCTTACCCATTAAATAACAACTCCCCATTTCCTACTGCCTCCAGCTCCTGACAACCACCATTCTACTTTTTGTTTCTACGAATCTGACTACTCTTGATACTTCCATATAGAGGAACCATATTGTATTTACCTTTTTGTGAATGGCTTATTTCACTTAGCATAATGTCCTCAAGCTTCATCCATGTTCTATAGTATGTGTCAGAATTTCCTGCCTTTTTGAGGCTGAATAATATTCTATTATATGTATAGACCACATTTTGTTTATCCATTCAACTGCCCATGGGCATCCGGGTAGCTCCCACCTCTTGGCTGCTATCAATAGTGCTGCTGTCAACATGGGTGTGTAAACATGGGTCTTCTGAGATCCTGTTTTCAATTCTTTTAGATATAAAATCAAAAGTAGAATTGTTGGATCATATAGTAATTCTCTGTTTAACTTTCTGAGGACTCTCCACAATATTCTCCTTGGTGTACCGTTTTATACTCAAGAAGATTTCTAATCTTTAAAAGAAATGGTAATTTAACAATGACAACAAAAAATTAAAAACCTTTGTTTTCTAAAAAAGAACATAAATATTTTTTAGAAATTGTACAAGCTTTATGAGACTGAATCACTACCTCCCTTTACATACTTGAGTTCAGATTACAGCCAAACTAAGAAAAAAGAAAAGAAAGGATAATGGCATTTTTATCAGTATTGTAAATAAACATGAACACAAATACACACGCACACATACACACACACGAAGAAATGATGATATTTTGAGGAAAACAACATCAACAACAAAAATCCACAGCTTTAGACTGTGTGAGACACAAAACCTTGCCCTACCAACTACTTACATGGTGGAAAAGGTTACTATCTGGCAATGATTCAGACACTTATTGATCTCAAAGATAAAACACCTAAAAAATTCTTTCCTGCTATTTATTATCCTCCTAGAGATACCACCAAAATCAGTTTCATTTCACATTAAGAAAAAGTTCTTCACAAATCGAAGCTTTCAGGATTAAAAAAAATACACACAAACACACATATACATATGCACACACATAAATACACATATATACGTATGTATGTATCCCTATTACCCAATACCAGAAGAAAAATTACCTGATGATTTCTTCATGATACAGAGAACTAACAACGGGGCCACCAAAACCGGTATTTGCTTCTTTTCCTTTCTTCTCAGGTAACTGTATGGGGACAGGGGGTAGGGAGGAAGGAAGGTGGAAAAAGATACATGGATTAAGGCAGTGTGTATTTAAAATAGTTCTAAAATAATACTTTGCTAAGGAATACTAAAGATTTGAGGTCCACAATTTCTCTGAGGCCCCAGTAACAATTTCAAGATGGTATCCAAAAGGCAAAACGATTCTCAAGTCATCAGAGTAATGGAATGAGTACCCACTAGCAAACCAAAGTCATTCCGCTACTGAACTCTGGAGCCACCTGAAGCCCACCATTCCCTTAGCTGATTAGATGCTATGTTCACTGTGGAGAATATTGATGCTCAATGTAGAAAAATGAAAATGAAATATGACCTATAAATACCAGATATGAACGTGATCAGGAACATCATACCGAGATTATTAACAAAATTACAATTTCCAAATAAGAAAAAACTAAACCATACTAAAACTTCAAACTCAAACACAAAGAAAAAATATTTTTTTGGTGGCAAAAAGAAAGGAGAGAAGGTGGAGGAGAAAGGAAAGGAAATTATGACCTAAGATAAATGAAAAAAAGAAGCAAATTGTTATGGAAACACTTTCCAAAATTAAGTATTCAATAGGCCCTGACCCTCAATATTTTCAAAAAGCACAAAATTAAGATTAATTTAGAAATAAGATTCTTCTAAAACATATAATATGGAAGCAGTAAACTCGGATGTTATTGTCTAAAAGGTTCAAATTGCAATCTCTGCAAAAGCCCACATCTCCTGCAATAATGACAGTTTTTAGGCCAGGATACCCTGCCAAAATCAAAATTCTAAACATAAATGTCTTAGAATCAAAACTAATACTTTTAGGGGAGCCAGGGTGGCTCAGTCAGTTGAGCGTCCAACTCTTGATTTTGGCTCAAGTCAGGGTCCCAGGGTCACGGGGTTGAGAACTGCATCAGGCTCTGCACTGAGCGTGGAGCCTGCTTGGGATTCTCTCTCTCTGTGCCCCTCTTCCTGACTCACGCTCTCTCTCTTGCTCTCTAAAATAAAAAAAAAAAAAATAGGGGTGCCTGGGTGGTTCAGTTAGTTAAGCATCCAACAGTGGATTTCAGCTCAGGTCATGATCTCACAGTTTGTGGGTTCAAGCCCGATGTTGGATTCTGCGCTGACAATGCGGAGTCTGCTTGGGATTCTCTCTCTCTCTCTGCTCCTCCCCTGATCATGTGCTCACTCTCTCTCTCTCTCAAGAATAAACTTTAAAATAATAAAAAAAAGAAACTAATACTATTATTGTTTAATTTAATTAACTAGTTTCACTTCAGAAAAATATAGGTAATCCCCATATACTTGGTTCCCCACCCCTCCCCCTGTTCTTTAAAGAAGAGGTTTTGTTTTATTGTTGTCACTTTTTGTTTGTGAACCACTGGGTAAAGGAAAAAGGTCTTGGAGACAGCATATTCTATTAGTTCCTGAGATCACTGGGAAAACCAGTTTTGAGAAAGGGTGGAAATTTTTGAGATCAATTGATGCAGTTACCAATTTATGACAGAAACAAAGCTACAATATCATAAATAATTCCTGTCACAATTTAATGACAAGGTATACTAGTTGATGCTGGCAAGTAAGAAGCACCAAGTAAATGCCAGATCCCTCTCTTCTCTGAAGACCATTCTTAGAGAATAAATGCTGCAAAGAATTTCCAGAATAGAGAATGTTTTCTTTATACTAAAAAAGCACATACCATAGGGAGAACCCATTTTATTCAACGCAATTATGTTCTAAATACATACTCCATTAGTACAATAAATTTGAAACACAGATGGTGTCCAAGAGATGCTTGCTAAATGAGTGACAAGACTGAAAACAAGGAAAGGGTGCGTCACGCAGCTTCCTGACAAAGAACAGACTCCAAGAACATACCAGAGGGGAAAATCTACGTGTACCACATTAACAAAATGAAGGATAAAAATCATATGATCATCTCAATAGATGCAGAAAAAGCATCTGACAAAATTCAACACCCATTCATGAGAAAAACTCCTAACAAGGTGGGTACAGAGGGAACATACCTCAGCATAATAGAGTGCATATATGACAAACCCACAGCTAACATCATACTCAATGGTTAAAAGCTCAAAGCTTTCCCTCTAAGATCAAGAACAAGACAAGGATGACACCCCCTCATCACTTTTATTCAATATAGTATAAGTATTCCAATTTTTAAAACGGGCAAGAGATCTGAACAGACACCTTACCAAAAAAGATACACAGATACACAGATGGCAGGTAAGCAAATGAAAAGATGTCCAACATCATATGTCATTAGGGAAGTGCAAATTAAAATAATAATGAGACATTACTACATACCTCTTAGAACGGCTAAATTCCAAAAGACTGATAACACCAAATGCTGGTAAAAATGTGAAGCCACCAGGAACTCTCATTCATTGCTGGAGGAAATGCAAATGGAACAGCCACTTTGGAAGAGGGTTTTGGCAGTTCTTCTAAAACTGAATATAATCTTACTATATGATCCAGTAATTCTGCTTCTAGGTACTGACCCCCCTTGCCCCTGCAAATTGAAAATTTATATCCACAAAACATCAATGTTTAAAGCAGTTTTTTTAAATAACTGGCAAAACCTAGAAACAACTAAGATGTCCTTCAACAGATGAACAGAGAACCTAACTGTGGTACATCTATACAATACAATATTATTCTGTGATAGAAAGAAATGAGCTGCTCTAGATTAACTAAGAAAAAAGAGTAAACAACTAAAATCAGAAACTAAAAAGGAGACTTTACCACTAATACCACAGAAATGAAAGAGAATTTTAAGAGACTACTATAAACAATGATATGCCAACATGTTGGATAATGTAGAAGAAATACATAAATTCTAGATATATAGAACCTACCATGATAAAATTATGTATAAAAAATCTGAAGAAACCTATAACCATTAAGGAGATTGGTTCAGAAATTTAAAATCTCCCAAAAAAGAAAAGCCCAGGACCAGAACATTTCACTAAAGAATTTTACCAAACATTTAAAGAATTAAAACCTAATCCTTCTCAAACTCTTCCAAAAATCTGAAGAAGAGGCAACATACCTAACCTCATTTTATGAGGCCAGCGTTACCCTAATGCCAAAGCCAGACAAAGAAACTAGAAGAAAACTACAAAACAATATCTGAGGAATACTGATGAAAAAACCCTCAACTAAATACTAGCAAACTGAATACATTAAAAGGATTACATATCATGACCAAGTGGGATTTATTCCTGTGAACGTAAGGACAGTATGGTTCAACACATGAAAAACATCACAAAACAAAATGACGGAAAGCTACATGATCATCTCAATTGGTACAGAAAAAAGTATTTGACGAAATTCAACACCCTTTCATAAAAAAAAAAAAAAAAAAAAAACAACACTCAATAAACCAAAAATAGAAGGAAATTATTTCAACATACTAAAGGCCAAATATGAAAAGCAACAGCTAACTGCACACTCAATAGTGAAAAACTTATAGTTTTTCCTCAAAGATCAGGAACAAAGGAAGGATGCCCACTTTCAACACTTCTTTTCAACACGGTATTGGAAATCCTAGCCAGAGCAATTAGGCAAGGAAAATAAAAGAGGTCATTCAAATTGGAAAGGAAGAAATAAAATTATTTCCATTCACAGATGACATGATCTTATGTGCAGAAAATCCTAAAGATCCCTCCCACATACACACATATAGACCACAAGAAACTGAAAGAACTAATAAACAAATCTAGCGAAATTGCAGGATACAATACTAACACACTGAAATCATGTAATGTCTGAGAGAGAGAGAGAGAAATAAATAAGTTTTCTAATATTAAAAATGATCAGTGCTATGGAAAAAAAAATTAACGTGGGGAAGAGAACTGTAATTTTAAATAAGGTCAGGAGGGCCTCACTGAGAAGGTCATATGAATAAAGACATAAAAGAGGTAGAGAGGTGAGACTTGCAAATATCTAGGGAATATTGTTCCAGGTACAGGAAACAGCCAGTGCACAGGCCTTAGTGTGAGGGTATGCTTAGAATGTTACAGAATTTATGTATTCGTGTTCTTTGCTGAAGGCTGATTAGTATATTTTAGGGGGCAAGACAGAAGCAAGAACACAAGGTTATTCACAAGACAATCATAGTTTCTGTTGGTGTCATTCACTGAACCTCTTAATGTGAATAGGCAATTTAGAAAAACACCTGTGATCTGCTTGGCAATTATTTGCTGTGAAAACACATACTAATAATTAAGAATTATATGGTATTTTGGAAAGGGATGAGCACAGTTTTTTTTTTTATTTAATAGCCTTTATTTTTTAGAGTTTCAGGTTTACAGAAAATCGAGTGGAAAGTACAGAAAGTTCCCATATTCTCCCCTCTCCCAAATTTTCCACTGTTATTAACATCTTACATTAATGTAGTACATGTAATTAATTAAAGTCCATAGTTTATGGGGTGCCTGGGTGGCTCAGTCGGATAAGCATCTAGACAGTAGAGTCCAGAGATGTTGCTAGACATCTTACAATGTACAGAGCAGCCCTCTACAACAAAAACTTATTCAGCCCTAAATGTCAATGGTGCAAAGGCTGAAAACTCTGGTTTATAAGTTTTCATCAAATGTTTTAACATTTCAGCTATCATTAATGTTTTGGGGTTTTTTTTTTCTCCTATCTTTTCCTCTCTCTTGCTTTTTCACTTCCTTCTGGGACTATATACATGCTACACTGCTTGATATTTTCCCATAGTTCACTGGGGCTCTGTTCATTTTTTAGTCAGTCTTTCTATGTTGTGTGCTTCATTTTTATTAGGTTCACTTGCTACATCTTCAAGTACTGATCTTTTCTTATGCAATGTCTAATTTGCTGTTAATCTTATGCAGTATATTTTTCATTTTAGAAATTGTCATCTCTAGAAATTCCATTTGGGTCTCTTTGTATCTTCTATTTCTCTTCCCCATTATGTTTGTATGTCTTCCTCAACTTTCTTGAGTT